TAATACATTAAAAAGGGCAAAAGAGAACATTCTTTTTCATAGTTAAAATCCTTGTTAGTACTACAGCTGCTAAAAATGCTGAATACATTCCAAATATAGCCTAATGCATCCTACACACATGATTACAAGATTCTGTTCAATGATTAAAAAAAAAAAAATGCTGGCTTAGAAAATGAAGGTATCATACCTACACCCCCACATACAGCTAAACTGGCTTAATACTGCAGATAAGAATCTGCAACCTGTTTGCTACTGTTTGGATCCTGAATAATTTGTCAATATCTTGGTACACTCACTTTCAAACAAAGTGCTACATATAATATTGATGAGTATATAGTGATACTAGAACTTTTTAACTTTAAAAGTTTTTAAAAAGTTGCCAAAATTGGATTTTTGATGTCTAATCAACAGTCTAGAAGTCTTACTTGAACTGAAAAGATATATCCATTCAACTAACCTTTGGAAATAAAAATAAGAGGAAAGAAGTATTTTCTACAATTAAGTCACACAAATAATTAATACAACTGTTAAGTATAAATGTCTTTTCAAATTTATAGAATGAACTGAAATTAACAGGCTAATTTTACAAGTTAACCAGAACATTCATTAAATTAAGCAGAAGCAGAATTAGTTATTTTAATTAAGGAAAAGTATTCAAAAGGCTCTACATTAACTATATATTCTTAAGATTCATTATACCTGATATAATTGGCCCAATTTTATTTTATACTCAATATGTTTATGCCCTTTTTGACACTATAATGTATTATTTATAGCATGATGAACATTTACTGCAAAACGTTCTGAACTAATAAAGCATACCAGAAACTATGTACAGGTCTATCAACTGAAATCAGATAGCATAGCAAACAACAAAGCACATTTGGCAATATTACCTTCAAAACTAAAAGTTTTAAAAGTAACCCCCCCCCCTTTTTTTTTGCCTAATAAAATATAAACAATTTAATAATTCTCACAAAATCTCACAGAACTGAATGAAGGAAAATCATCATCACTCTTTCTACAACTATAGAATTACCAAATGTTAGATCATAAACTCGTGATTCTTTAGTAAAGTGAGGCATGTAATCATGACACATTTATAGTGAATCCTTGCTATTGTCTTATTCAAGGAAGCAATGTTTCTTAAATTTCTGACACTCAGCATAAACTAATATACTTACATATCATGTTATCAGAACTGTTAAAAAAAAAAAACTGACTTTCTTGCACACTAGAGTTCTTTGTTACCATGCACATTAGGAAATGTCTAACCCCTAAATAATTTAACTTTTAAAGTTTAAAAAAGACTGAAATAATAATCAGGATAACAAATTATTGAGCCAATCTCTGAATTAAGTCTACATTATCTAATTTTCCCTCAGAAAACCTCAGCTCAATGGGTAATATTATCACCCTCATTTGATATCTGACATTCTGAAACACTGTAAGACCTACCGAAAGTTGCATAATCAACAAAGGAAATCTTAGTTCTGTCTGATACTAAAGTCCAAGGACCCAGTTCTTAATCACTGTATTATCCTGGCTTTAACATTATTTGACTAGAAGTTCAGAAATGTAACCTTTAAATTAAATACCTGGCTACTCAAATGATTAAAAAAAAAACTATACTTAATCCAATAAAAATTATTTTAGAAAATTTTAAGATTTTTTTAACCACTTGTATTGACTATAAGAGATAAAATTTAAATAATGAACATGGCAAGGCAGTTCATTTTTCTTCATATAAAGTCTTAGAAACTTAACTAATCAAGTTTTTCCTATAAAGATAATCTTATTAAAATTCATAGGAAATACAAAATAAATCAATGACATACCACTACACACCTACTAAAATAGCTAAAATCCAAAACACTGACAGTATCAAATGCTGATGAAGATGTGGAGCAATAAGAACTTTGTTTCTTTGCTAATAGGTATGTAAAATAATACAGCCACAATGACGGACAGTTTGGCGGTTTCTTACAAAGCTAAAAATACTATAATATACAGCAATCATGTGCTTTGGTATTTACTCAAATCAGCTGAAAGTTTATATGCACACAAAAATCTGCACATGAAGGTTTATAACAATTTAAATCATAATTGTCAAAAAAATGGAAGCAACAACACGTCCTTCAGTAGGTGAATGGGTAAATAAACTAGGTCTATGTACAAAGTAAAATATTATTCAGTGACTAAAAGAAATGAGCAATCAAGCAACAAAGACATGAAGAAACCTTAAGTACATATTACTAACAGAAACCAGTATGAAAAGGCAACCTACTGTATGATTCCAATTATATGATATTCTATAAAAGATAAAACTCTAAAGACAGAAAAAAAATCAGTGGTTGCCAGGGGTTAAGAGAGAAGTGTGGAAAGGATTCAAAGTTGCAGCACTGAGTATTTTTAAGTGTACCTTTTCTGTATGATACTATATACCCACTAGATCATAAAAAAAGCAAAAAACATCTACTTCTGCTTCATTGACTACACTAAAGCCTTTCACTATGTGGATCACAACAAGCTGTGGGAGATTCTTAAAGAAATGGGAATACCAGACCACCTTACCTGTCTCTTGAGAAACATATATGCAGGACAAGAAGCACCAGTTAGAACTGGACATGGAACAATGGATTGGTTCAAAACTGGGGAAGGTATCTATCAAGGCTGTATACTGTCACCCTGCTTATTTAATGTACATGCAGAGTACACTGTGTGAAATGCCAGGCTGGATGACTCACAAGCTGGAATCAAGACTGCAGGAAGAAATATCAACAACCTCATATATGCAGATGACACCACTTTAATGGCAGAAAGCAAAGAGGAACTAAAGAGACTCTTGATGAAGGTGAAAGAGAAGAGTGAAAAAGGTGGCTTAAAACTCAACATTCGGGTGGAGGAGGAGGTGGGAGGGGGGATCGGGATGGGGAATACATGTAAATCCATGGCTGATTCATGTCAATGTATGACAAAAACCACTACAATACTGTAAAGTAATTAGCCTCCAACTAATAAAAATAAATGAAAATAAAACTCAACATTAAAAAAACAAAGATCACGGCATCTGGTCCCATCACTTCATGGCAAAATAGATGGGGAAAAAGTGGAAACACTGACAGATTTTTTTTTCTTGGGTTCCAAAATCACTGTGGATGGTGATGGCAGTCATGAAATTAAAGGATGTTTGCTGGGCTTCCCTGATAGTGGTAAAGAATGTGCCTGCCAAAGCAGGAGATACAGGTTCGATCCCTGATCCGGGAAGATCTCACATGCAGTTGGACTTGTGCCACAACTACTAAGCTTGTGCTCTAGAGTATGGGAGCTTCAACAACTGAAGCCCATGTACCTAGAACCCGTGCTCCACAAGAGGAGCCACTGCAATGAGCAGCTCACTGCACCACAGGAGAGTAGCCCCCGCTTGCCACAACTAGAGGAAAGCCTGTGCAGCAATAAAGACCTAGCACAGCCAAAAGTAAAAAAATAAAAAAAAATATTTTTTAAAATGATGCTTGCTCCTTGGAAGAAAAGCTGTGACAAACCTAGACAGCATATTCAAAAGCAGAGACATCACTTATCCAATAAAGGTCTGTATTCAAAGCTATGGTTTGCAGTAATCATGTACAGAGGGGAGAGTTGAACCATAAAGAAGGCTGAGCACCAAAGAATTGATGCTTTCAACTGTGGTGCTGGAGAAGACTCTTGAGAGTCCCTTGGACAGCAAAGAGATCAAACCAGTCAATCCTAAAGGAAATCAATCCTGAATATTCACTGGAAGAACTAATGCTGAAGCTGAAGCTCCAATAATTTGGCCACTTGATACGAAGACCTGACTCATTGGAAAAGACCCTGATTCTGGGAAAGATTGAAGGTGGGAGGAGAAGGGGATGACAATGAGAGTCCCTTGGACAGCAAAGAGATCAAACCAGTCAATCCTAAAGGAAATCAATCCTGAATATCCATTGGAAGAACTAATGCTGAAGCTGAAGCTCCAATAATTTGGCCACTTGATACGAAGACCTGACTCACTGGAAAAGACCCTGATGCTGGGAAAGATTGAAGGCAAGAGGAAAAGAAGGCAACAGAGAGTGAGATGGTTGGATGGCATCACTGACTCAATGAACATGAGTTTGAGCAAACTCAGGGAGATAGTGAAGAACAGGGAAGCCTGGCGTGTTGCAGTTCATGGGGTTGCAAAGAGTCAGAGATGACTTAGCAACTGAACAATGACCAACAGTAATGAACAATAATGGTGGAGACAGGAAATTACATATTTGCATAATGCCTTATGCATCCTGCATTGGTGTGGTGCATTTGTTACAACTGATGTCTATGAGGCCAGGAGATTGATAACTGACAGAGGAAACTTTACAATATGAAAATATAATACATTAATGTGCTTTATAGGAAAAACTAACAACTGAATGGATCATACCATTTTCAGGGAAGGCATTATATGACAGTTTAATAACCTCTAATTAAATCTCTCATACACCAAAAATTTTCATCTTAGTCTCTATCAGGACTTTGAAAACTTTTTAATTAATTAATTAATTTAATTGGAGGCTAATTATTTTACAATATTGTGGTGTTTTTTGCCATACATTGACATAAAATCAGCCACGTGTGTACATGTGCCCCCATCCAGAACCCCCCTCCCACCTCCCTCCCCATCCCATCCCTCTGGTTGTCCCAGTGCACCAGCTTTGAGTGCCCTGTTTCATGCATTATACTTGAATTGATGATCTATTTCACATAATTTGTATGACAGAAAATGGGAAATTACTATATGCAGTTCAGAAATTAGTCTATAAATAGTATCATTTAGCATCCACTCAATAAACAAACATGCAAAGAAAATCTGTGGCTATCAAATACATTTTCTTTTAGCTATCTGATGTGCAGTCTCTCTGTAAGACAGGAATACAAATAATACTGGCTCATTATCTTCCAGTATTCCTTAATAAAGAGACAAAAATACTTTCATTTAGACATACCTTAACTATTTCTTCAATGAAACAAATGTGAGAAACAGGATCCCTCTTCTTGGCTAATATTTTTTGTAGATGTTGCACCTAAAAGGAAGGAAAAGAGGGAAAACATACATAATTCAGTATTTTCAAATGCAACAAGCATAGAGTACAGGTACTAGAAACAGTAAGGGAAGGGAAAAGGCATTTTGCTAGAGCCCTTACATACATTATAATTAGTTAAGGAGGTATTTTGACCTTTCAGAGATTTTAAGAAAGCTGCCCAAGATCACACAACTTTGAATAACTAAGAATTAACCCACAGCTCAGCAGGTAGGTTCTGCCTGCAGTGCAGGAGACAGGAGACGCAGGTTCAACCCCTGGGTCAGGAAGGTCCCTGAAGGAGGAAATGGCAACGAAAACTCCTATGGACAGAGGAGCCTACTGCACTATAATCCAAAGGGTTGCAGACAGTCAGACACAACTAAGCACACAGCACGCTAACTCATAGTTCATGCTATTTTTCACTCTCTCAAATACTTACCTGACCACAGACAGTAAAAATATGATCCACAAGTTTCTCCATGTTGGTCCAGAGGGAAGCACGAAAAGCTGCAGTGTTCCCTGGGGTTGGCATGGTAGATCGTCCAGGTCCCCCTGTTATGAGAGACAAAAAAACAAGCAAAATAAAATGTTTCAAAGTTAACAAAATGTATGTTATTATGAAAAGCACATATATGCTAACAAATGAAAAGTCTTTATGAAGAAACAATAATTTATCATGAGTGATATAAAAAAGAATCTTAACCTTTTGTGTTTAAGAAAAGAAATAAAATCACACATACGTGCACACACATAGACACACCCCACACACACACCCAACAAAGATAATACACAAAACAAGAATTCCCTGAAGAAGGAAATGGCACCCACTTCAGTATTCTTGCTTGGGAAACCGTGTGACAGATGAGCCTGGCGGGTTACAGTTCAAGGGGTCGCCAAGAGTCAGACACGACTGAGTACGCATTCACTAACACTCTCCACAAAAACAACAAGACACTGCAGCTTAGATATCTCATTTGTTAAATGAAAGTATTAATCTTGACTCTGTGAATTATCTGATAAATGTAACATTCTATAAATATTTTTAATTTGAATATAGTTGACTTATTCTATAATTCTTTATAGCAGTTTTTTCCCCCAATCAGAATAGCTCTCCATTACAAAATACTCTTAAAGGGAATCTTAAAACCCCTGCAAATTAAGACTATGCTCCTATTTTCTGTAACTTCTCCTGTTTCCTCTTACCTGACATCCCATGAAGGGATATGACATATCTGATTTTCTGTTTAATTTCAGATAATGTCATCTCACTGTTTTCCACTCACAAATGGGTTGAAGCCTTGCTGATCTGAAGTGTAATCAGTAGAAATATAATGGTACTTATTCAAAATAAAGGAAGGTCTTAAAAGCCACAAAAGCTATAAAATAAATAAGAATTTTGGATAGCTGTTTTTTTCTTTTTGGGGATCTTCTGGGCTTTAACATAAACACTGAACAAACCAGAATCTTAAAAGTGTAGAGGAACAGAAAATTTTTTAGTGAAACAAGTGAGAAGATCACTATCATGGGTGAGAGAGTTTTAAATATAAGTTTGCGTTCCCAAAGCCATAGATATATAATAACTTCATGAAAATGTGACCAAGGATACTAGCAGTGGTATCAGCCTCCAACACATGTGAGTGAAAACTTATCACGTATTTTTTTAATCCATTTGAATATGTCCCAGCTCACCATTCTGTCATGCCAAAGAAACAAAAACTCAGTAACACTGATAGAGAACATTTTCCATTCCATGATATTCTACAGGAGCCATGAATTTCTACCATTCAAAAATTTGGGAAACCACCTCTCGTGTTTAGTTCTTCATCATACCAGGTTCCTTGTTATTTAGAAGCATGCTTGTTTTGTACATATACATACATATACATACACAAAAATAAATATATGTGTATATGTATAACTGAGTCAACTTGTTGTGCATCTGAAACACTGTAAGTCAACCACACTTCAATAAAATATATACATTTATAAAAAGAAACAATCCTGGACACAGGCAGATTCAAGTCACCAAGTATAGTTCTAGCCTTCTCAGAAGCTATCTTACTTGAGCTATGTTCTTCATTTGTGTTTGACCTAAAAGTGCAAGGTACAGGGACAGTAAGTATGGCACATTAATCAAGTGAGTTTGGTTTCAGGTTATTACCTGCTGAATTTGTATGTGTTTAGTTCTACTATTCAGTATGTTGCTAGTATGAGGAAGAAGTCCCTTAATGAAGTCATGTAGGAATGAAAGATGCCCTTGCCATTATGTTCTTAGAAGGAATATTTCCGTATTTGTTCAGACTTCAGTTATGTTCGATGTACAACTAACACTTACAGTTTCAAAAATGCAGATTTTTCTTTGTATCTTGTCTTCATAATAAGGAAATAACTTACTAAATCACATAAATTGATATACTGTATGTCTAACAAATGCAGAAAATATTTCTTCACCCCCATCCAAAAAAAAGGAATTAATAAAAATGGTTTCCTAGAGGGGGCAGTCGCAGTGGCAGGAAGTAGGACCAGGTGAGAAGAATAGAGACGGAAGCAGTGAGTCTCTGTGAATCATGCAATGATTTAACATGTTTCAAAGTGAATTTAAACTTACAGGAATGAAAAAGGCAAACTCAAACTAAACACAAACAAATACAGAAACACATAAAACTAATGGAATGTCAAATTAGTAAGATAACCATACAAAGGAAATTAATTATTTCAAGGAATTTTTAATTACAGCATTCTGACTTTAATAAGATACATTTTAGGGGCAAAAAGAGTTGCATGTCTATTTTCCTAACAGATGTGTTGCTTCACTGATCGATGAGGAAGACTTTCTTATCTCTCCTTGCTATTCTTTGGAACTCTGCATTCAGAAGCTTGTATCTTCCCTTTTCTCCTTTGTTTTTCACTTCTCTTCTTTTCACAAATATTTGTAAGGCCTCCTCAGACAGTCATTTTGCTTTTTTGCATTTCTTTTTCTTCAGGATAGTCTTGATCCCTGTCTCCTGTACAATGTCACAAACCTCCATCCATAATTCATCAGGCACTCTGTTTATCAGATCTGGTCCCTTAAATCTATTTCTCACTTCCACTGTATAATCATAAGGGATTTGATTTAGGTCATACCTGAATGGTCCAGCAGTTTCCCCCACTTTCTTCAATTTAAGTCTGAATCTGGCAATAAGGAGTTCATGATCTGAGCCACAGTCAGCTCCCAGTCTTGTTTTTGCTGACTGTGTAGAGCTTCTCCATCTTTGGCTGCAAAGAATATAATTAATCTGATTTCAGTGTTGACCATCTGGTGATTTCCCTGTATAGAGTCTTCTCTTGCATTGTTGGAAAAGGGTGTTTGCTGTGACCAGTGGGTTCTCTTGGCAAAACTCTATTAGCCTTTGCCCTGCTTCATTCTGTACTCCAAGGCCAAATTTGCCTGTTACTCCAGGTGTTTCTTGACTTCCTACTTTTGCATTCCAGTCCCCTATAATGAAAAGGACATCTTTTTTGGGTGTTAGTTCTAAATGGTCTTATAGGAAGGTCTTCATAGAACCGTTCGACTTCAGCATCTTCAGCATTACTGGTTGGGGCATAGGCTTGGATTACTGTGATACTAAATGGTTTGCCTTGGAAACAAACAGAGATTATTCTGTCATTTTTGAGACTGTATCCAAGTACTGCATTTCGGACTCTTCTGTTGACGATAAATGGCTACTCCATTTCTTCTAAGGGATTCCTGCCCACAGTAGTAGTTACAATGGTCATCTGAGTTAAAGTCACCCATTCCAGTGCATCTTAGTTCACTGATTCCTAGAATGTTGACGTTTACTCTTGCCATCTCCTGTTTGACCACTTCCAATTTGCCTTGATTCATGGACCTAACATTCCAGGTTCCTATGCAA